GGGGTCAATCGACGGATTCAACTCGGCTGGGCAGCGTTCGGGAGATTACAACACATCTTCTCGTTAGACATACCTCAGAACCTCAAAACTAGATTGTTCAACCAGTGCGTGTTGCCAGTGATGACCTATGGATCTGAGACGTGGTCCTTCACTGCTGGCCGTATGAGGAAGCTCAAAGTCGCTAACCGAGCTATGGAAAGGGCTATGCTCTGCGTTTCTCTGCATGATAGACTTAAAAACGAGGATATCCGCAGTAAAATCGGAGTAACCGACGTAGCCCAAAGAATTAGTATGTTGAAGTGGCAATGGGCCGGCTATATAGCTTGAAGAACCGACAACCGATGGGGAAGAAAGGTTCTCGAGTGGCAGACTCGTACCGGTAGACGAAGTGTAGGGCGTCCCTCCACGAGATGGAGTGACGACCTGGTAAGACATACAGGAAGTCGATGGATGCAGGAGGCTCAGAACCGTGCTTTGTGGCATTCTTTGGGGAAGGCCTATGTTTAGCAGTGGACTTGTGAAGGCCTGTAATGATGATGATGATGATGACACCACCCATGGTCACGAGTTAACTCTACTAACTACTAAGGTGTTTGACGTTCCAATGTCATAGTTAGCCCAGCAACAGTTTAATCACCACTAACAGTAAAGTACTACTGTCTGATGAAATCTGTATCGTCATCCCTGATTACGAGTCCCAAGATGTTCGACGAATATGGCGGTATAAGTCAGCTGATTGGGATGAGGTGCGACACATTTTTGCATCCTATCAGTGGCGGGAGGTCTGTTTCTCTTCTGCGGATACGTCGAGCTGTGTGGTTGCGACAACGGATGTGTTGCGTACAGCTATGGAGTATTTTATTCCCTTCTCTGACACACCGGTAAAAAAGCTCGCCCATGGTTTATCGCTGAATGCGCCCAAACTGAAAAGCGCGAGCATTTAGCGTACCTATCGTGGGTTGATGCTCGAAACCGCAAAGCTCCGGATATTAGCTCCAAGAAGAGAACTTTCAACAAGGCCGCCAATTCCCACAAAAAACTATTACGGAAAGCTAGTCTCGGTTGCATTAAACATATTGGCGCAAAACTCTCTGCCAGACCGTCCGGCACGAGAGCTTTTTGGTCTCTTGCCAAAGCGGTCGAGACAAACTTCTGTCGGCCTACACTACCTCCGCTGTTAAAACCGGATGGCACACTGGCGCATACGGCTAAATAGAAAGCGGACTTGCTCGCGTCTCTCTTTGCCTACAATTCACGTGTGGACAGTGGCAACAACGTTCCACCTAAATTACCTCACTGCGGGACCTCTATGTCGTTCTGATGATCGTTCGTATAACAAATTTTTTTTTATAGGAGATAGGGCAAACGAGCATGCGGTTCACCTGATGGTAAGTGACTACCGCCGCCCATGAACAACTGCAACACCAGGGAGGGAATTGCAGATGCGTTGCCAGCCTTTTAAAAAGGAGTACGCTCTTTTTTTGAAGGTCCCTAAGTCGTATCGGTCCGGAAAAATTGCTGATGGTAATCGATTCCACAAGGAAGTCGTGCGAGGAAGAAAACATCTTCTAAATCGCACAGTGGTGGGCCGCCAATCATCCAGATGGTGTGGATGGTATCGGGAGTTCTGCCGCGATGTGCGTTCGTGAAATTTGGCGGCTGGGATTAATCCGAACAATTCCACAGAGCACTCCCCATGGTAGATGCGAAAGAAAATGCAAAGGGATGCAACATCTCTTCGCAGTGCCAATGAATCGAGCCGATCGGAAAGGGCTCGGTCGTCGACGATTCGAACCACTCTGCACTGGATGCGGTCAAGTGGAAGGAGCTGGCACTGGGGAGCCCCTGCCCAGAGATGGGAACAGTATTCCATGTGATGCCGAACCTGCGCCTTGTAAAGTTGCAGGCGGTGTGCCGGCATGAAATACTGTCCCGCTCTGCTGAGCACGCCAAGCTTTTTAGAGGCCAATTTGGCCTTGTCTTCCAAGTGACCACGAAACTGCACGTCACTCGATATATCGACTCCGAGGATACCGATACTGGCTGAGGCAAGAAGGGGAGTGCCTTGAAACTGAGGAGATACGACAAAGGCGTTCTTTTTAGCGGTTAAGGCGCAAACTTGTGTCTTCTGAGGATTAAACTGGACTGGATTTAGTCGCCCCCAATCCGAGACTTTGTTCAGCAAAGACTCGACTTCAGACACAAGTTTGTTCCGGTACTCAGCGACGTTTTCCCGAGAAGTATTGGCACGGCCGGTGCAGAAGAAACAGCGTTGTTGATAGCACACAGTCTTGTAGAACACCAGCGTTAATAGGCTTGTAGTCAGAACATGCACCGTCTACAACGACCTTGATGCTCCGATCTGCAAGGAAGCAGGTGATCCAATTGCACAATTTCTCGGGAAGCCCATAGGAAGGGGGCTTCGAAAGAAGCGCTTTGTGCCAAACCCGATCGAAGGCCTTCGCAATGTCCAGACTAACGGCCAACGCCTTCCCCTTGGACTCTACTGCCTCCGCCCATCTATGGGTCAGGTAGACCAGAAGATCACCAGCTGATCGACCCCGACGAAAACCGTACTGGCGGTCACTAATCAGCTGGTGATCCTCAAGGTAGCTCATGAGCTGGCAGTTAATAATGAAGAATGAAGGATAGCGTGGCAGGGGTCGCCTTGGTATTGTTGCTCAGTTTGCCCCGAGCAGTTATGTTTTTGAGCGGGATTTTGCCCCCCCCCCCCCAGAATACGCGGGGCAGCCTGAGCACCCACGCTCAGGATTGGAATAACATGGTCGTGGATGCTCAGCGAGGGATTCTCCAGGGGTACTGGTACCCTCCTGGGGTAGTCTATCGTGTAATTCCGCTACCATGTAGCGGAATTACACGATAGATGGGGGGAGGGGGGGGGGGGGTATTGGGCCTCCGGCCACCTGCACTCACCAGACGAAACGCATAAGCAGAGCTTCTACTTCACGCCGGTATTCTGTGAGGTTGTGGTACCAACCCGGCTCGAGCCGGCCTATACGTGCAACAGCAAAAACTGCTGCGTGGCTCTACCACCGTTAAAAAAATAAGCAGATTCTTAAAACCTTGCGGTGTCTAGACGTGAATAAAGCTAGTAGACCAGATGGTATACTAGCTATAGTGCTAAAGGTTTGTGCACCGGTGTTGTCTCCTGTGTTGACACGCTTGTTTCGCATTCGAATAGTGGCAAAATCCTGGAAGCTGGCCAACGTGCAGCCTGTTCCAAAAAAAGGCAGCCGTGCCGGCCCTGCCAATTTATCGGTCAATCTCAATTACCTCCATCTTCTGCAGGATTATAGAGCGTATATTGAACGCCCGCTTAATGGCCTACCTAGAACAGAATGATCTCCTTAGTGACCGGCAATATGGGTTTCGACGAAATCGGTCAGCTGGGGACCTTCTAGTATGTGCCACACACGTATGCGGCGAGGAACAGTGGGGAAGCACTTGCTGTTTCCCTTGATATCTCGAAAGCCTTTGACAGAGTTTGACACGCTAGTTTTTTGGGTAAGCTTTCAGCGTACGGCTTATCCCTTGGTCTGATTGACTGGGTAAAGGACTTTCTGAGTGAACGGCCTCTCTGGGACGTCGTCGATGGCTGCTCATTCGATCCTTTAGCGACTAACGCCGGTGTTCCTCAGGGGTCCGTTCTCTCCGCAACTTACTTCCTGCTGCATATTAATGATCTGCTTATGCCCAGTATCTATGGGTATGCAGACGATAGCACAATTGTGGAGAGATACCAACCAATTCCTCGCGCCAGTCGGGATCAAATCCAGTCCGAAAGAGAAGCTATGGTAAAGCGTGTGAATCTCACACTACAGGCAGTCTCCGAATGAGGCGATGCCAATCTTGTGAAATTAAACACCTTCAAAACACAAGCGTGTCTCTTCAGCTCATCTTGGCTCCTTCTTTCAGAATACACCGATCGCTTTCAGTTGTTGGGAGCTGAGATATCCTCAAATCTGAACTTCGGGCGGTTTATTGAGTCCAAGGCCAAAGCAGCTGGAAGGAAGCTAGGAGTCCTTGCAAAGATGCGGCGATACTTCACGCCGGGACAGCCTCTTACTTTATTTATATAAAGCGCAAGTCCGGTCGTGCATGTAGTGTTGCTGCTATATATGGGCTGGTGCTGCAAAATGCCACCTAGCAGCTTTGGAATCAAGGGAAAAGCATGCTAAGAGGCTTATTAGTGACCCAAATTTGGTTAAAATCAATCTTACCAGCCTTGAACACAGGCGCAAAGTACGCAAACGGTTTGCTACATCGTTGGTGATACGTACAGCAAAAGAGTGGAATAAGTTGCTAGTATTTGTGTTTCCATTCGATTACAATGTGGGTCTTCAAGGCAAGAGTGAATAGGCTTCTGTTAAGTCAGTGCGTTTCACCATCTTAGGCTAGATCACCACTTACAATCAGGTGGGATTGTAGTTAAGCGCTGGCTTAGTATAATACTAGCTGGCCAGGCAGACGTTGTTCTGCTCTTTCCAACTACCCTATGTCCTATAAAAAGCAATAAAAAAATATTGAGGGTTACTTATAGGGATAAAAACTATCCTATCTCTCAAGTTGGACCAAACTGCACACAGTGTGCAAAATTTCATTGCAATCAGTTTATTAGTTTAGAAGTTCATCGCGGACAAACAATGTGACACGTAATTTTAATATATAAAGAAATGTTAAAAAAAGACAAATAACATGTTGATTCTTTAAGTATTCTGTTTTGTTGAATTAGATTCAGAACAGGACGAAAAAGCTAAATTTCAAACAAAGTAAACATCAAGGTTTTATCCCCTATGAGCACTACTACAAAGGTTTATTTAATTCATTTAAAATAATATGAAAAGAATGTTATTTCTTAATTTTAGAAAACACCTAAATTTTTTATTTTATAATATTTTATGGAATTGGAATGATCAAGATTTCATTTATTGTTCATTATTACTGTCAACGCCACCCTATATTTAATTGTTTTTTTTTTTAAATTGTGCACTAGATGTTTGTAAGGCCAACGTGTTTAATGGTTTAAATGTATAGAAAACTTTTACTAAACGTGAGTGCTTGTAATTACATTGAAAGTTTTGTATCTTTGTAATTTCAGGCTAATTTCAAAACTTTTTCCATTCAGAGCGGGGTGAGTTACGGCAACATGTTACAATAGGAACTAAATAACAGTAAATAACTTAAAAACAAACACGTCCGAAAGGAATAGAAGCGATGAAGCGGATCGTGAGAAATATGAAAACATCTAATTGAAAAAACATAGAACATGCAGTCGGTGTGACCTTGCTCAGTGAGGTTGATGCATGGTGATGGTTGTCTTGGCACGTGTCGTGTCCACGTGTGCAAGCGAGCGCAGCGCTCGGCCGGCAGTTACCTGTGAGTATACTGGCGTCGTCCTCGTGGCTCGGGTGGCTCGCGTCACTAATGCTCGAGGACGCAGAGGAAAACGGTCTTTGGAGGCTGCAGGGTGAGCCGGGCGGCAGCGGCGCGAGTTGCGGGCGGCGCAGCAGCGCGTCCAGGTCGGCGGGGATGCGCGTGGAGGAGGCCAGCGACGAGCGGTCGCCGGCGCTCCACCAGCCGCCCCACGCCGCAGACCGCCGCTTCGGGTTGTAGCGGGGCGGCCCGCGGAAAGGCACTGAAAACGTTTCGTTAACAACCCAAAACTAATACTCAAAGTAAACGTGCGGAAACCAATCGGAATTCCAACAACTCAAAAGTTGGGTTGAAGTGCTCTCAAATAAATATTTGAACGTAGACTTCATTGTAAAACGGAACCAACATAAACAAAATGGATAATCGTGCGACGAACGAAACAAAACTAACTTGATCGAGAATATCACAACATGAATAAAATTTATACATATAATATTATATTTTTTACACAAGATACAGTCATAGTACAAATTAGTGTGTTTACATATGTTTGCGTTTGACAATCGATAAACATTACTATAATATTGTGTTATATTATGTAACAGACCTATGATAATCCAAAAATATACAACCATCACCATTATAAAAAGCAATGGAATATAGAAAAACAGCTAATATATAAAAACGGAAATGTTGGATGAAAACATGCTATGTATTTATGGATTTTGCGTGTTAATAGGTATATATGATTTCTAATAATAATAATATATATCTGAGTATTATTAACTAACAACAATATGGTTGATGTAAAAGCAGTTGCATATAATAAAAATATAAATAATCGACATATTATAGGAATCAATTGAGAATTAAGTCGATATGAATTTTAAGAAGCGGCAGCCAAAACCATGCGCCATATAAAGATTTAAACTCACCGATTTCTTCCGTTTTATAATTCTTTATTACTTCTGCTAATTCTAAGTTTCCAGCTATAACTGCTACCTGAAAGTGAAAGAAAACCTTCTGTTTATCGTTTAACTATAACAGAGTTGTAAAAGACCATCCACATAAATCAAATATAGTTTATAAAAGAACCATAAAGCACATTTAGTTGCTTTAAAACAATTTTTTCAAATATGTTATGACAGAGAATTCCTCGCATCGCGGTTGCAAAAAGATGCAGTGTTATGAAGGTTATAATATTTTTACTAAAAATACATAAACATTGTTGACTTCTACTGTGGTAGGGGAAGCTCTTATTAATTTCTGTCGACAAGCGGCGGTACTAGTACTAAAGATTAAATAACGTTACCATATGGTAACGTTATTTAATCTGTGGCAATACACCTACTACTGTGTGCTGGTTTGAAGATTGAGAGATATTTCGCCTTAGAATTCAAGATTCACAATCAGAAGAACTATACTACTTACTCGTTTGTAAATATGATATGGTATAATCTGTCTATTTTGTTAGTGGTTAAGTAAGTATCTCTTAAGCTTTCCCCTTATACTTCTATTTTTACAAGAAATTAAAATAAATGATTGATAAATACGTATAAATTAATATTGTATATCACACATGGTAGCATGTTCTTATTTCGAAAATAGTTTATTGATTAATTATAAAATTCAACAATAAATTATAAGGCAAAAAAATTTACAATGTGGCCTATTTACAAAAATTGTAAAGTGTTCGCGGCTAAGACACTATACACCACAATAATATCTACCGTACATTTGAACAGCACTGACAGTTTAGACAAAATGAAATTAATATACAGCTTTCAATTGTGTTCCCAACATGCACGTTAGTATATAATAGACATGTTGGCTATATTACCTGATAGGGGGTCTGATTGGCGAAGTTGAGCGATTCCTTGTCGCAGCCGCGGAATAACAGCTGGCGGGCGCAGGAGTCCTGGGCGTTGACGGCGCACACGTGCAGCGGCGTGTTGCCCGACGCGTTGCGCCCGTTCATGTCCGCGCCGTAGAACAGCAGGTGGTCCAGGTGCTGGACGAGACCGTTGCGGCAGGCCTGAAATTTTTATCGGATAGTCTCTCAAGAGCCTATTTCTGAACATAAGCCTCCCAATCCAATCCCCTCGCAATTCCAAGGAATGCCACAAGACACGGTCTAGTCGTCACTCCATCTAGCGTGATAGAATCCGTTATGAAGATAACCGTAGTAGAATCAGAGTAAGCGAAATAGCCAAATAATTTGTTAAAAAAAAATTTTCGGGCGGCAGCCTCATTCTGGTAAATGGAGTGTAGAGATGTTTATTAAAACAATATCTATAAGTGTTTGATCTTTTGCGGTTTGGTATCTTTTTCACTTCAGTTTTATAAAAATATGAAAAGTGGAAAAAGGCCTCTTTTATGACTAGGTGTTCGTCCAGTTCAAATTCTCACCTAATTTCGCGGCCAAGCAACAGTCCACCCATTGCTGTGTTAAGTGTACAAAATAAGTATAATTACAGAGTGCGAGGTAATTGTAAAATTATTAGATTACATGGATGGGAACACATCTGTGTCCTTTTTGCTAGAAGTTAATTACAGGTTTCTATGGTTTGGAGTAGTCACTATCATGTAGCCTGTTAGGTCGTTTGTCACACAAATTCTATATAAAAAGTCAATACCAATAAACGCCAGTAATCTTCAAGGTGTAATATATAAAAGGAACAACAAACCTGATGCACTTCTTGCCACCCTTGCAGATCCGTAGCTCCAATAGTTGCGTGATCATGCAATAACGTTTCGCACAATAATGGGTCCGTTTTATTTGTAACCGATAGATACAAAGGTGTTAATCCCTTGCTGTCCTTATAATTCGGTGACGCTCCAAGTTCTAAAAGCGTTTTCACTGCTTCTAACGAGTTTTTTTCTACAGCCCTATGCATAGCTGTGCTGCCATCTTTCGTTCTGTAGTCGAGTAAAGCACCGCCATTCACAAGGGCTATTAGGACTTTGCCAGGTGATTTTAAGCCAGCCGCTATTGTTAAAGGCGTTTCTGAAATAAAAGCGGTCATAGTGATTTAAAGCAAACATAAAACAAACAAAAATAAATTATTTACTATAGTATTGTAATATTGTATACATTTGTACAAAACATATCGTTGAGCCGTGGTAGCTCAGGGGCTAAACGCTCATTGTAAATTTTAACGTACGCGAGCAACCCGGGTTCTTTACCCGCCGGCACCATTGAAATTGTTAATTGCAATTTTAAGTACTAATTTACCCCGTACTCGGCGGTGAAGGAAAACATCGGGAGGAAACCTGTATATCTAAGAAATAAGAAAAAGAATATTTCGAATACGTGAAGTTCGTTAACACGCATTGGGGCAGCGCGGCGGACATTTCCTTGCCCTAAAACCCTCTTAGAAATGAGAGGAGGCCTGTGCCCAGCAGTGGGACGTATATAGGCTGTAACTTTTAAACTTATCGTTAGACTATAAAAGTATTAATAAATACAGAAGATAATAGAGATGTCCGTCTAAAGAAATCAAATTTTTAAAAATTTTACAAATTTATGATTACAAATTGTTTAATTTCTACCAAAATTGTTTCTTTTTTTAATAATTATTTCCTACACTAGGATTTTCTCCTGTATCGTGGAAGCAGTTTACATACATAGATTGAACAAGTACAAATATCCAGATCCAGATATACTTGGCCCGCGCGGGCCCAGTAGCCAAGCCACTGCATCACGAAGCTGCCTTTGTTAATTCAGCTCGTCATTACGTAACATACGTACGTAACGTTATTGTTAATTGTAATCTTAGATGACGATTTAACAAGTGCATGGCGGTGAAATCACATAATTATGATCTGAGCTGGTGATTCTTCGTGAGGAAACCAACATATCTGAGATATAAAAATATTTTAAGCACAACAAAGTCCTCCAATACGTACCATTTACAATGTATGTGTCTTCAAGGCAAGAGTACAACATCATCAATTACCATCAGTTGGGATGGAAGTCAAACACTAGCTTAAAATAGTTTAAAACAATTGTAGCAGCGCGGTGGAAAAACTGCCCCATACTCGTAGCTTCTCATAAATGACAGAAGACCCTGTGCTCAGACCTCTTACGCACTTAGGTTAAGCTTTAACTTTTTAAAGCAAAGTTTCGTAAAAGTGTTTGTTAGGATTGTTAGAGATATTTATTACTAAACGGCTTAAATTGAAGTCCATCTGCCTTTGATAGCGCTTAGATTAAAATTACTTGATTGATTTAGAAATAGATTTTGCTATCGTTTAGAGAATTTATCAAAGAAGGCTTTAGTGTACATATCGCATAGAATATAATAATTAAAAAAATGTTTAATTTGTCCTGTTGTAACACTAAAACGTCGATATTTGTATATTAAATTACTGGCTGTTCCCGCGACTTTGCCCGCGCGTAATTTATTACGATTGGATTTCGTAGGTTTTAAATTTTTTGCGCGGAACCATAATTCTTTTTCTAAAATTAAAGTAGCCTGAGTTACTTCTTATATCATCAGCTATCTGTCAGTGAAAGTCCGGTCAAAATCGGTCCAACTGTTTCTGAGATTAGCCGGAACAAACAGACAGACAGAAAGACAGACAGACAAAAATTTTAAAAATCGTGTTTTTGTTATAAGTACCGTATATACTTTCATATGCATTATGCATATAGTAAAAAGCTGTTATTTCGACATTACGAACAGACACTTCAATTTTTTTTATTTGTATAGATTATCTCATCTTATATACATTTGTATCTCGTATCTTTACAAAGATGAGCAAGACTAGTAGCTTCTAGATTAGAATAAAGCCGTGATAAAAATGATTATTAATTGCAGATCATTTTAAGGTTATCCACGGCTCCATTGATACGGTTTTCTTACAATAGGGTAGGCGTTACAATAGCGCAGTGTATACAATTTTTATCGTGTGTACGATTATAACTTGTACACGGAACATAATAGGAATGATAATGGCTTAGAAACTTACATTTGATTCATGCGCGTTACTAGTTTGTATGTAATACTAAACATACAGAACAATGGAAATGGAAGATAAAACGGTTGGCAAATTACAGCACTCTTAGTAAAGCTACTGTACCATATCTGAATCTAATAAAACCTTGTTCTAAATAAGTAAAACATAATCAAAATAATTTGATGGTTTTCTATAAGTTAAAACATCGTGCTTGACTGCGCTCACACCCGATGGAAAGTAGAGATGGAGTTTTGGGTGGTAAAGGGCTTAGCGAAACCATTTCATTCTTATCTTAATGACTCGCATTGTATCTGTCGGAAAATGCGATGCAGAAAAATCATTGCAATTGTTTGCTGTATTATAAATGAAGTGGCAAAACGCTTCGGTCGATTGCCCCAAAGAAATATAAAAAAAATGCGTCTTGTTGTCGATGGCGCGAAGATAATGGTGGAATTAAATTGTGTCATTCTATCGCGCTCCTAAACTTATTCTAAAAACCACCCAGAGACTGACTAATTACGTTTGTGCTCAAAGCTTTTTGTAAAATTGTAAAATGGTTTAATAAAATATAAAAAAGCAATTATCCCAGAGTCTCTTCGCGGTCTTCTCTTTAGAGGTCTGACTATTTCAACTAGTAGTAGATTTCGAGATTCATAAGCTGAATAAAATATTTTTGACTTCAAATTTAACTTTAGTGTATACTATATACCAATAAGTAGTAAGCATTGCTCTTGCACCAGTGAGATGCCAGGGTAAGGTACAATTTTTCTAGTATTTCTACTGTGTTATTGACTTGAGTTAAATGTGAAGCTGATAGTTGGTATCAAGCATTACTAGCTGGGTTAATAATTAGTACATGACAACAAAACTCCGCAACTACCTAGATCTGTGCTTTGTACAGTGCCAGAAGCTGAGCCGGTTTTAATATACTTCAATGAAGTTATTATGACATAATATATGATTATGTAAGAATATCCACTACCCCATATAGTCTCGTGGGTATCGTAAGAGGCGACAGAGGGAAACAAACCACCATTTTTGTTGTTATTAGGCAGCAAAGTCTCCCTAGTAATATTGAAAAATAAAAAACTGCGGTTGCCAACCCTATTAGGCAATCTATGGGGGGAATTCGTATGGTGGAATGGTAACATTAAGTTACTTTTGGTGAATTCTCGCTAATGACTTTCCAAAAGCTTTTTAAAAATTATAACAATTACAGCTTGCCCTCTGAATGAAATTCACCCCGAGGGAAAAAATAATCCGAACTAAATTGATCTCCCATTCACTTCAGTTCAATCAATCCGTAATTTTTTTACAGTGCAATTATAAAATTTATTAATAACTTGAACACAGCGCAAGTATAATCTATATGACTTACGCTTGAGCCAAGTCAATCATATAGATTATAAAGATTAAAACCTACCTCCGGTATCATGGCAGTGGAAGTTCGGGTCCAAACCCTTTGCACAGGCCTTAGTGATCTTGTCGATCTGAGCGTGCGTAACATGTTCGAGGAAGCGGCGCAAGTTGGCTCGCGAATGTAACGCCTTCAGCGTCTTCTCATCTAGCTTTAGCATCTTGTACACACGACGCTTATACTTTAACTGTAACAGAAGTTGGGTTCAAATTAGGTTTGATAAGTATTGTCAGAAGTAGTTTCAAGAAAACAATAACTGTCATTTTATAAAAAAGCCGAACCGTGGTTGCAGTAGGGCTGGGCGTTAATGTCACCCTTAATTTTATAGCAAACGAGTTCTATCTCCGCCGGCACCGGTGAAATTATAAATCGCAATTTTAAGTGATAATTTACGACGTTCTCGGTCTTGATGGAAATCATCTTGGAAAATACAGGTATGAATCCATTCCATTACAACCTGTAAAAGTCCACTGCTGAACATAGGCCTCTCCCATAGGTAGGATTTTGCCATATTTGCCACGTTTAGCAGGCGGGTTAGAAACCACATTTTTTATTATGTTGAGTTGTTATCAGGAAGATGCTGCTGCCCATCTCCTATTTCATTTTTCTCTGTCTCTCCTTACGATTCCAACGGGATATATGGTAATGGATTCTCTTACGCCGCCACTCACCACACGGTTAACAGATCGGAGCAATTAAAACATTTGATGGATATATTATGAAGTTCGTCAATTCGCAATATGACAGCCCAGTAGTCTCTAGCCTGATCCAAATCATTAAGAAATAAGAGAAAGTCAGTGACCAGCTGAGAAGTTTATAGTTGTTACTGTTTATAGTTGTTTTTTTTTACTTAATAAAAGCCAGTGCCTAACTACAATCCCACCTGGCGGTACGTAGTGATGCTGATGAACCTTTACCTTTTGTTTATAAAACTGAAGTGACAAATGGACTTACCGTCCTTCTAATGGTAAGTAACTACTACAGTCCATGGGGACCTGCAGCCAACTCCAAACAAAGAAGATTACAGATGCGTTGTCACCTCAGAGGAACTAATTTTCTACGTGGTAGAGCCATGCTGCACCTATATTAATAGTATAGTTGTAGCAAGAATGGGGACGGTTCGACCGGGGAAGGACCACGCTCTCACAGAATACCAGCGTAAAATAGCAGCTTAATGCTGCTGTGTCGTATGGTGAGTGTAGACAACCGGAGACCCATTTTGCTGGAAAAGAGGCATTCCATTTTAGTCCTCACGGCTGACAACGCATCTGCATTTTAATTCGCAATCGAAGATAGATGTGGAATGTAGATGTCTATGGGCCACAGCCAAGACTTACCATCAGGTGGTCTGTGTGCTCGTTTGTCACCCTAATTCTATAAAAAAAAAACTAAGAAGTAATGCCTGTAATTACACTGGTTACCCTTCAAAACAGAACAAAGCAGTACAGCAATGCCATTTGGTGGCAGAATAAGGTAAGAGATTGGTGATTAAACCTACCCAGACGGACGGACGTAAAAGGAGTCCTGCTACTTACTACTATACAATTATGGTCTAAATAAGGATGCACTTCTCTAGCGAAGTTTCAAAAATTTCAGTAACAGAATCTTCATATTTTCGGAAAATGAATTAATGAAATTAACATTTTCAAGTAATGTTATAAACTTTCCTTATTCATCTACAGTGCGCTGCTCACAATCAAGTGTTGCTGTATGGCACAATCACAGTCAAAATATGATTTATTTCAATACCACCATACACCATTATGTAAAGTAACCTTTTGTTTCACCTAACAAAGAAAAATTTGAATGGTTACTTAATATCTAACGCGGCGTCATTAATTTGCTTGATCTAATGGAATAGTGTTACATAATCAAGCATTGAATTTTGCAAGAGGTCTAAACGAATATAGTATATGAAGGGATAATGTAAAGGGAATTGTCGGTATAATAACCTCAAGATATCCAACAGGTCCGTTAAAAGGATAATCGCCAAGTCGACGCTCCTCGTCGAGGAACTTTCCGGCCTTGCCGTTGACCGGAGGGCAGAACAGACCATAGTTGAAGCTCTCCTTCAATTCCTGTCAACAAAAAAAAATAAGTTAATTAAAAACATCACACTACGAGCATATACAAAAAGAAATTTCAGCAAGTAATATCATAAACTTTGAACCTTAAAGATATTATCTTAATTAAACTTAACGAGTTCCATGGAAAATGTGAAACATAAAAGGGATGATATCTAAGAAGTAACTAAGCAAAATCGCAATTTAATTATAGATAACTCATTTTCTTGATATAACTGGCATAAATATTTTAAATCGAGTTCTTGAGTCGTAGAAGAGTAAGAATTGAGATCACACGAAGGAAAACATGGCCCCGTGCCATGCTTCTTGAAACCCAAACTTTTAGGGTAATCTTCCTGTATTATACAACACTTCCAATAATATTTAATTTAATGAACATTTCTTATTTACATATTCTCGTGAGTAAAAAAAAAATCAATTCGACTAATAAATAAAATATTTTCTGTTTTAGGACTCCATTGTAAGTAGGAATGCCAGATCGGAAGACCAAAATATCTGGACAAAATTTGAAAATGTCGGGATTTTGGAGTTGTTGTCGGGAGAAATAAATATTAAAAATAAAAATGTTAAATAAAAAGTTTAGTTTTTAAATTAACAGATTATAAAAATACTGACACATAACTAATTTAAGTGCACTTAATTTTTAGGTTGCCACATATTATATGTTTGGCGTTTGACTTTACTGAGTCTACCAATTTGTATCCTTTAGTAGTATTCAGAAAAGATTTAAAATTCAAACAATTTACTTCAATGTCCAATATTATTACTGAACATTGAATTTTAATAAATGAAAGACAGCTGTGATGTGCTGAAGCTGCAAAAATGTCGGGAGAATCCAGATGAATCCCGACCATCTGGCAACCCTAATTGTAAGTGATCATCACCCACGAACATCTACAACGCCGGAGAAATTACAAATGCTTGGTCGCTAAGGAGTAAGTGCTTATCGCTGATTTATTTTTTTGCTAAAATTATACATACAGTTCGTGATTATTGTTGAAAGTTGCCCTTTAGTAACATTAATACAAAATATAAACGAAATACGAGACAAAGATGTATTTATAGAAGACAGATAAATCGAATGGCGGTTTGACGAAGGGAGACAGATTTACAACGGTCCGATTGATGGAACGTGATGGGCACGTCAGAATGTATTGCAGCAAGTTGCAACCTGCAGCGCGGGGTCAGCTCGCATCATGCAAAGCCTAATAAATGAACGCGGCCGAGGTTATTTATGGTTGTAAGACGGAGACGCTACAGTCGCATAACGTTCAAAGTAATTATGTCTCAATTGAGATCATTACTGTAATGACAATTATGGTCTGCTTTTACGGTTATAATTTTATTTTATCAGAACAAATTTCTAAATTGAATAATCACTAAGATAACCTTTACATTATTTTTTTTTAATATTTTTTTAGAATTGGTTGTAATTTGAAGCAATTCATATTTATTTAGATGTAGGTATGATTTTTGGTGATTGATTATATGATTATTATGTATTATGTATGTATGATTACTAAGAATACACGGCAACTAAATTAATAAGAAAAATGGTTTTAGAAGAAGCACTGTACATCGTTTATTTATTATAAATATATAGTATATATAAAATACTAAAAAATAACAATTATTATTAATATGTAATATAGAATTTAGAGTAATAACATATTAAGTATCATTAACCATTCATGGATTAATGACGAATAGTAATTTGACTAATTTATATAGATTAAGTGCATATTTATATCGTAGGAAAATAAACAAAGCAGTGATCTAACCAATAAAATACTTTTTCCACCTAATGGTTGATGTTAAGTGTATGCTGTAAGCCCATAGCAACCTATAGTCAGGTTATAAAATAAATCTGTAATCTGAGCATCCATATATAAGTAAGAATATATAATATCCTTATGTAAGAATTCAAATGCAGATGCACCTTTGATGAGTACGTTGGAATACCTCGTCACTGACCATACAAGAGTGGACCCATTCGTGCAGCGTGGCTACTAGCGTGGCTATTATCAGTGTGATGTGCTTGCTGTAATTTTTAATTTCACAGTACGCGAGCACATCTGGTCCGATCCCCGCCAGCACAAATGAAATTGCTAAATGCAATTTTAAGTAGTGATTCACCACGTATTCAGCGGTGAAGGAAAACATCACGGCGAAACCTACATACATATACACTCACGCCTGTCAACCAGAGGGGTAGGCACTAGACAGAGACTACGGACTCTTCCATTTGACACGATCCTGACACACCTCTCTCGCTACTTTTACATCCATGCTCATCAGTTAAGGGTACTTTTAACCTGCCCCATACAATATATCGCCAAAATCGGGCGTCCCTGCCCGACTCTTCCGTTCATTTCTTCGACATGAATTTGCTTCGTCACTCTTTCCTCGTTCATTCTTTTTACATACCAAAACCACCGAAGCATTCCTTTCTTATTCCTGGTCACAACGTCATCTTGCAAACAACACTTTTCTCTTATCACACTATTTCTCACCCTGTCATCCAGATTCAGTCTTAACATTATCCGCATTTCTACAGCATTTTTCTACTCTCGTGCTTCTTCTGCCAGACCCAAAATTCACTACTATAAATTAAGTTAGGGATTAACACAGCATCGTGTATTGCCATACGAGCCTTTTTTGACACACTGACTTCCCACAATAGAGTGAAAAGCCCTATTTACTGTATTGCCAGCGTTCACTCGTCGTATCCTTATCATATCCACCATCCCTGCTAAAATCACATTGCACAAGCACTTGCTCAACTAATTCCCCTTCTATTCTTTTTTCACATATCGTTTTACTTTCTTCTCTTTCAAAAACAAACACTTTTGTCTTACTTGCGTTCACTTTCATTCCCCTACATGTCTGGGAAGTTAAAAATAAATACTTCGAAGACATGTAAAGTCCATCAACACCTAAGACCAACACGCATTGGGCGAGCGCAGCGAACATTTAATTGCCCTAAAACCCTCTAGAAATGAGAGGAGGCCTGTGCCCAACAGTGAGAAACGTATAAACACTGTAACTTTACTTTACTATTTGATATCATGCAAACTACATTTGCTTATTATTATTTTTAGGTTCCATTTTTTTAACATTTATTGTTAGCCATATTTATTTTATGATAATGTATTTTAGTCACAGTGTCACAGTGAAATATTCGCCATGTAGTTGCGGCGTAAGAATATCCACAACGACAACAGCCTGATAACAACCGAAAATTATAAAAAAAAACTGTAACTGCATACCTGCCTGCTTGTGGTAACTAAGAAAAAATCCCCTCTAAGAGGCAATCTATGACAAGGCCTATGTTCATCAGTAGGCTTTTAACAGGCTGTAATGGATGAATAAATACGAAACATTTAAGTATGCAAAACGAACCTTTTACTAGCACAGAATTTTATTTCAACTTCTTCAACAGTAAAAATATGCGAAATGCAATGTAAACGTTCAACTTTCCAATATTAAAGCTATGTACCGAGGGATTATCGCGCAATACTAAGGTATGCTAATATCATGAAGTAAATACAAAGAGGAGACGTTGTAATTCAATTTCACTATGAAACAACGCGTGACAATTTGCGGGGTGAGGGGATGCAAAGCCCCGCCCACTACACTATCTACATCTACCGATAAATAGTAAAACTACTCGAATCTTTCCATATCAATGTTGCAATGTAGCTCAGCTACCTTGACGGTAGATGGCAGCATATCCACAAAATGTTATAAACTAAAAAATAATATTTTGGCGATTAACATTTCTTTATGTCTGAATGCAAAACAAATTTTAGCACCTTCGTATGATTATTTTATCGTTACTGAGCTCTACGTACCTTTATATTTTTAGTTCACAGGACACAAAGTGTCGCCATCTAGTGTGGAATATATTTAATTATATTTGAAAGCCGACGCAAAGATTTTTCTAGAACTATTTTAATAAATTAGATGTAAAATTACTTACAAATGAAATGTGATGCCATCCATAGCATCGGAGCGTCTATCTCATGAAGCAAATACATTCAGACAAAGAAATTTTAATCGCCAAAATAATAATTTTATAGTTTTCATAATAATTTTGGGAATAGGCCGCCATCTATTGTCAAGTAAACCTCATAAAAAATTACAAAACGACAGGGCCGTAATTAGAATTCAATTATTTTACCCAGTAACCCAACATTCAATATTAAAATGAAGGAAATTGTACTTGGCTGATTTTTACGAAATGTTTAAGTTATATTTAACTGACATTCTATATGCAAAGTATCACTTAAATACAATTTAAATATGTTTATTATTTCGTGAAAGTCAACCTTCAAAAATATTTATGTTATCCATAAAGTCTCTTTGAAACTAAATATTCTATGTTCAATATTAAGTAGGATATTTAATTTGGAACTAAATATCCTATTTATCTCACTAATATTATAAAGGCGAAATTTTGTGTGTTCTTTCTGTCTCCTTGAGCTTATTCCACACTAAGTATGTACTGTGTATGTGTAATTTTTTTCACGCAGAAACGGCTGGACTATTATTTATCTGTGGGTTATACTACTTAATATCTCTGCGGGAGAACAAATAATAGACAAATTATTATAATTAATATAATTTTATTTAGAAATCAATTAAAATATAAATATTTTATTCCAAATTAGGCATCCGAATGCACTTTTTGAATGCCAATCTAAGAACATTAAATTGTATTTAAGTAATTCTTTGCATATAGAACGTCACTTAAATATAACTTAAACATTTCGTGAAAATCAGCCTAAGTACAATTTCCTTCATTTTAATATTGAAAGATGGATTACTGAATAAAATAATTGAATTCTAATTACGGCACTGTCTTTTTGTTATCTTTATGAGGTTTACTTGACGATAGAATACGGCCTGTTCACATAATGATTACAAATTATAAAAATAATATTTTGCGATTAAAATTACTTTATATCTGAATGCAAAACAAATTTCAGCAC